AAATAGTAAGGTTTATAGTATGACTCGTTTGATAAATAAATAAATTTTAAAAAAAATAAGATATATAACTGACACAGACGCAAACGCTTTTGAATAAAAAAAAATCAAGATTTTATTTAACTAAATAGGAATCTCAAGAGGCCAGCACCCAATAATTGAGCAAAGGGTCCCAATGTTTTTTTGTTAGTCCACACATCAACACCATTTGTCATGTAATAAAATGCCAATATCATGATTGATGCTCATTCACAATCATAAAATCAAGTCCATGCTTTTTCCCATTACAGTTTTATACTAAATTTCTTAATTAATTCAGTACCACTTAAAATTATTTTTTAAATATAAAATTAAAATGTTAATGGATCTTCTTAGTCTTTAGTGAGAAGAGCCGTCTACCAGCCAATTGATCGAGTCTTTAATTATTATTACCTTCCCATCAAAAATTTATCTCCAATACTTTGTTGAGAGTTACTATAAGGTTCACGAATCTACTTTATCACACACTTTAGCTTGAACTACAACCATTTGTCGGTTTATACACCCTATTATATAACTCTTTAAGGAACTCTTGGGGAACATCCGATTCAAACATCAACATTCTTTACCTAATTTTATCAACTTTATTTTCAAAATGGCATATGCTATTTTCTTTTACTAAACCATATATCAATTAGACAAAATAAGTCAAATATGTTCTATAAATGTATAGCATAAACTAATAGTATCTTTTTGCATAAAATAAACACTCAATTATCACAATTTATATAGTTGTCTAGATAAGAATGCATCCCCAGTGCTGGAACTGTTGTAGCTAAACCCATGACGACCCACAACACTTTACAAAAGATAAGCCCCATTTGCCAAGATTTGGGTGGGTCCAATAAATCAAGCTCTTTTACAAACTTTGAGGGAAGCATATGCTTTCCTTCGTTATAATAAGGTTGATAAAGGATTAAAAAAGTTACTAAAATATCAATGGTGGCTCACACTCATAATTGTCCTCTTATGCTTCAATCTTACATTTCTCCCATTCACACCATTCCCTAACTTTTAAATTTCTTCACCAAAAAGAAACTTTTGCATATCTTGTGTCAAAAAGTTACAAAGATTTTAAATTAATTTTAGAGTTAAATTGAATTAAATTTTATAATGCTAGATAATCTCATCTAATATTATATTTTTCATTCACATACTCGAACTGAAAGTTATATTTAAGGAATATCGAGTTTTTTTGCCATGACTTCTTTTGCATGTATAAACATGGATGGATATATATAAAAGTGAGGGATTCTCTCAAAATACTTGATCTAGTGGCATTTTACGTATCTATCAATTGATTTGTTCAAAATGCGTATGATTTAAGACAATAAAATAATGATTCATAATTTGTAGAGCAATCATTTAACAGATGAAGTCTTTATATGTATGAGGTGTTCATGATTGCAATACAATCTACAAGAATGACATAATCTTGAATTATAGACCTCATTCAACAACTTTGTTCAGCCTTTGTAAAAAAAAGTGAGGTAATGGCTAGGTCATCATTGGGACTTTTCCCAAGCATGCAAATCAGCTGAAATTGAGAGGGGGGGGGGGAACTTTAGATATTGGTGATGGAGCAGGCACATGGATGAAGAGGTTTAGGGTTTCAATCATTGTATATAAGTGGGGTTTTGGTAGCGGAGGGGGCTGTAAAAGTAAAAGAAATCCCTTTACCACCATTCTCATTTCCTTTTAAGCTCACACAGTTCATCACCATGCTCACAAAATTAGCCTTTTCAAACTTACTCTCTTCTCTCACCCTATTAATAGTTGAAATATAGTATAGGATTTAGGGTTATTTATATCGTCTACAGTGAGACCGTTGAATAGATATTTTATATAAGTGAGATGTCAATTGAGTAGTCGAGAGGTTTCGATATATTAGATAAATTTTCTCGAGTGAGGTGATGAAAAGATGATTTTTTTTTTATTTAGGGCGGTGTAGATTGTACCATTCAAATGTGAATATTACAATGTTTTGGGAGATGTTTTAACGACTCAACATCTTCGACAAAAGATGCACGAAAAGACATGACGTCTTTCAACTTGCTTGTTTGAAAAGACGTTGAGACGTATGAAAGACGTCTTTTGTCTAGCGTCTTCGCGTCTTCCCAAATCAATGTGGAGACCATCCTATTTGAGAAAACAAAATATGCATCACCTCTTATTCAAAAAATCCTTTTTTATTCCCTGTTTAAGTAAATTTGTTGATAAATTACCTTAATGAGGAATTACCTGCAATTTTCAATGTTTTCTCATGTAAGGATGAATATAAAATTTATGTTAAGAAATAAATTTATATAAATTTAAAAAAAAAATAAACTTATAAAATTTTATCAATAAAAATATAAAAAATATTTAAATTATAAGAGAATTTGAAATTATAAAAAGAACAACTCCACCGGTCGCTCCTTCAATCCATCCCTATTTGCATGCATGCCTAATTGTAGACATTTTCAGGCTTGTAAGTAACAGGGTATTACGAGGACTCCCTGTAAATGGATCAGCCCAGCTTAGTTTCCAACCCTTTTATTTCCATTTATGTTTTTAAAGTTGGAACTCGAAGGAGACCAACAAGGAAAAGCCAACTTCTAAGTTAATCCAAACTTAGATTAAATGAAAATTTTACTTATCTGCCCTCCTTTTTAAGCAATTCGTTACTTCACCATTTGGTTTCTTTGCTTGAACCATAAAAAAAAAAGTAAATGAAAAGAGGCTGAGATTTTAATCCTTAATTTATCTAATTCATATTTGTGTTCACGTATCTCTTTAACAATCAATGGAATTACTATTATGATTACAATATAAATATTATTAAATATTACATGTCATAATCTGATTGGTTATTGGTGTGTTGCATCAATATAAAGATCAATTTGATTTTTTTATTATTTTTCATTCTACTCTCGTCGTCTTTTTTGTCGAAGTTAAGAGATTTTTCATCCATATTTAATCATTGTTAGAAGTAATCATTTTTAAATATCTTTTACAACCACCTTATACATCGATGAAGCTTCTCATAATCTTATACCATCTTATCCGTTTATATTTTTCACCAAAACCTCTTTAAAACTCACAAAATTCATTTTTTTTTGGAGTTTTGAAAATTTATAGGATATGCAAGATTTGGTGTTTAGTTCAAAATTCGATCAATGACAAACATTATTTCGAGAAGTGAACAATATACCTTAAAGTTATCCTTATTGGATTGTCGGAGAGATTAGAGCATTAAAAATTGAACCTTTAGATGGAATTTCATTAATATTGGAATAATTTGTGTGATAAAATTGACACTTGAACTAAAATTTACAAGAAATAAATTGGCACATGATCACGTCGTTAAGATCTAACAATCTAGTAGTCTAATTAAATTCGAAACGATAGTTCAATGATAGAATTAAAACAAATTAAAATTTAATAATAAAAACGATATAGAATCTAAAGTTAAATGACATTTAGTGTTTACCCTATGTAACACGTTTACTTATGGATTAGCTACAACCACATTAGGCAGGAAATTGCGTCCACCCCATCCCCCATTGATCTACAAGTATAACGTGCAAGCGATGACTAATCATTTCCATTTTTTGCAATTAGATTTTGGGCAAACACCACAACAAATATTTATATAATAAGAATCTTGAGATATATATATTAGCCTCTAAAACAAACATTAAAAAAGGTTTAGCAAACAGGAGAGTTCCCCTATACAAGATTAGCCTGTTCACTTGTATTGCGTCTCGGCAACAAAATGTGACATTACGCCTTGTTCGTTATAAAGTCGGTCCATTGAAACTGAACACGAGAATCCTCTTCCTCTGGTTACATTGTCTCACAAGCTTTTTTATTCCATAACGGTGCATGATGATTTAAAAACCAATATTCAAAGTAAAATTTTTATTGCGATATCTAATTAAAGTAATTATAAAATAATATTTATTAATAATTTTTAATCTATTAACAGTATACATACATTCAACATATAAATTTATCTAAACTCAATGTTTAAAAAAAATATTTTTTTACATCAAATCGAATTTTATCCACTCTTACCACGAATAACAATGATACTATGAATAACAAATGATGTAATTAAAACTTTTTTTTTTATAATTTTAAAAGTCCAAAGAGTATGGGACCGTGAGTGTGACATAGTTAAACCTTTTTCTATATTTTGGTTTCTTTTCCTTGCAAGGCATTGTTCATATTTCTCTTCCCTCCCTTTACTCCAAAACATGTCTACTTCAAGTCTTGAACCTCTTAGAATAATAATCTATATATACAGTTATTCCACAGAAGCCTCTGAAAATATATATAAAAAAAATCAAAGAGAAATCAGAAGGTTTCAGCTATGGAGATTAAGTTCCAAGGCGACGAGTCGACTCACGAATACGACGAACAAAAAGCACCCCTTCTGAAAATTTTGGCAGAAACACCAGAAACCGAAAGGAAAACGCTTTTACAGCAAGCAATAAGCCAGACGTTTCAAAGCACAGCACATTTGGCTAATCTTTTACCCACCGGGACCGTCCTTGCTTTCCAACTCCTCTCGCCGGTCTTCACCAACCAAGGCGATTGAAGATGATGAGCACAAAGATGGTAATGGCTTTGAACAGCCGGTAGTGGAAGACGACAAAGATTCAGACGGTGATCTAGGGATGAGTGATGCATCAGACAGACTAGCCGCTGACAGAACTAGAAATGATGAAGGTTCAGACTCAGCAGTTTCCAAAGATTATAGCGATTCAGAACCACCGATGCCTGAGCTTTGAGTGAGTGGTGTTTAACAGAAGCAGCTTACACCCCTTCCCTCCCACCTTAAATTGTTTAAGTAGTTATAGAAAATTAGAGATTAATTTAGATCTCAAATGCTACTATTGATTAGAAAAATGTTATGGCTCATTGTGTAACTGAAATTTTTATTAATAAGATATTATTGATCTATGAAACCTTATAAATATGGGGTACAATACAAAATAGTTCAATATACTGTATACACGACTGTCTTCTCTGCAATGCTATAAATGGATTACAACTTTTATTTTTCTAAACATCAGATGCACTGCTGAAAACCACAAAACCAAGTAATACAAATCACTCCGCCAAGTTCATCCCTATCAAGAGAGTAGAAGATATTGACGAGTTTCAACCCATAATTTTGCTACTGATCAGTGATGACAGCCCACGCTTATGGTGCTAACAGCTTCTTGATTCCGGATTTCTGATCTGCAGTTAATTTCGTTGGGAATTTGATATTGAACTTGATTCTCATGTTACCTCTTTTGGAAGGATCTTTCGGAATCGGCATACCTTCCTTCGGGACAACTTCCTCGTAGTTGGGACTGATCACATTGGTGACGGGGATTGTCAAGTTCCTTCCATCCAATGTTGTGAGATGGACGGTGTAACCCGTTAATGCTTCCACAAGAGATATCTTCTGCGTGACAATCAGGTCATTTCCGTCACGCGTAAACGTGCTGTGTGGCTTCTCGTCGATTATGAAGACAAGATCCGCAGGGGTTACATTCGGCTGTTCATTTCCTTTCTCAGGGAAGGTAATCTTTGTTCCCTTCTTCCAACCAGGCTTGATATTAATTGTCAGGATTTCCTCCACAGGCAATGTCTTCCTACAATACCACACAGTGAAATTTGTAAGTCTCCCACACCATGTTGGCAAACAGAAAAACACAATGCAGCTACATAATAGTTCGATTAATTCGATATATACGAATATTTTCTTGGATACCAGAGTGTACCATAACGATCAATGTTACCCATTTAATTCAAATTGAATCCTTCCTAGCATCTAGCATACACAAAATGATCAAAACAATGCACCTGTGTAACGATTAGTAGAATTCCATCAGTTGATTATTTCCTCTGATTGCGAATGTTTCGTGGAATTCAATGTCACTCGTTTGATTCAAATTGTATTCCTTGTAGTTTCTAGCATAAAAAAATGATCAAGACAAAACCCTTGAAGCAACCTAGCAATGACTACTAGTACTACATAACATATAAAGACAGAAAACAAACGGAAATTAAAGGCATAATTAGCAGGGGAGACATACCCGCTAGCATCTGCAATTTCTCTCGAAATCTTCATCTTCTTCGTGGCTCCTTTATACAAATCCTCGAGGCTACACGGTAATGTATTCTCTATCGGAGGAGCTTTACGAGGACCCTGACTCATTGGTCTTCCTTCACCAAACGAACTGAATATATCATCACCAAACATGCTACCAAATGCCCTCGAACCACCTCTCATCCCACTGCCGCCGCCGCCGCCAGGGCCTCCTCCCATCCCCCCAAAGGGACTAGAAAACCCAAAAAACTCGGCAAAAATATCATCAGCATTCCTGGGGTTGAACCTGAACACATTTGGACCCTCCCCAGTTTGGAAAAACGTTGTTCCACCAGGTCCACCGGCATCTGGAGGTGGTACTTGGCCTTTTAACCCGTCTTCACCATACTGATCATAGACGGCTCGCTTCTGTGGATCACTTAAAACCTGCAAACATCAAATTGAAAACTTTGGGTTTAGACTTCGTATATGTAAAAAAATAAAAATTTGAATTGGTGGGCAATCATATAATCTAAATTCACAGAAACCCGGATCATAAATTAATGAAACCTAACAAAATATTAATGAATACAGAGCTAAGAAAAAAGGGGGAGTAGAGAAAGCTAACCTCATAGGCTTCAGAGATCTGCTTGAATTTAGCCTCAGCTTCCTTTTTATTGTTTGGGTTCTTATCAGGATGCCATTTCATGGCAAGCTTCCTATAAGCCTTCTTCAAATCATCATCTTTTGCATTCTTGTCGACTTGCAGGATCTTATAATAGTCTACACCCATCTTTCTCTATGTTCTCGTGTGCTTTGTTCTTCACCCTAGAGCTTATAGATGGTTTTGTTTATCGATTATTAAATTATAACGTTGTGGTGAAATGTATTGCTTGTAAATGTTGCATATTTGAAGGGGAAATAAGGATGTGAAGGAGGCAAACGAAGATGACGAGAAGGGTGTGGAAGTTTCGAGATAGTTAGCCGAGGGATTGTGACTCATCTACACGATTTATCCGGATAGTGTTTTTTTTACGTGAGGATTAGTTTTTATCGAAATATCACTCTCAAATTTATTAATTATCTGTAGGATATTCTTTATGATAAAATGCGAATCACTATAGGCACCTTTCACATAATTTTATTCGAACTGACATCACGTGAGAAATATATTTCAAAGGACATGTCTTTCAAAATCTATCATTCCTCAAAATATTTTAAAAATATGTTTTAAAAAAATTAAATAAAATAAAAGAGACTAACATCATAATTTAATACATATTATTTCAATGAGTTGAAGAGTTTAATGGAGTAAATATTTAGACATATTAAATTGTTTAGGTTATGTTTCTTAATAATGTGAGATAAAAGTTAAAATGTGTATTCCTTAACTTTTTTATCTCTATATCTAATGAATCTACTTATACACTATTGTTAAATCTTTCGGAATCTCCCCTTTAAAATTGTTGAAGCTCATATACCTAATCAATATTTTTGTTAGTAGAAAGCAACAATCTTAATTTCATAACGTGAAAAAAAATACTTTCAGATGCTTCTTACAAATGTGTTAAACTCTTATGATGTGAAAAAAAATACTTTCAAATGATTCTTACAGATGTGTTAGTAGTTTATTCCATCTCGAATTACTACAGTAAAAACATATAATTAAATAAATTATATAAAAATTATAGATTATCTCATAATCTAGATTTAAAACAAAAGAACATATAATATTTTAAGACGTTTGAGCCGTCCAAATATAATTAATTTTATATTCGATCTTACATAAATATTAAACTAATATAATTTAACAATAATATATAAGAAGATTCATTAGAGGTAGAGATAAAAAAGTTGAGGAATACATTTTTTAACTTTTATCTCGCATTGTCAAGAAACATAACATAAACACTATAATATGTTTATTTAAGTTAGTCCCATTAATCTCTTCAACTCATGGAACTAATATGTATTAAATTACAATGTTAATCCATATAGTTTTATTTTTTAATTTTTTTTAAAAATATATTTAAAAAAAATATTTTTTTTAAATGCTTTAAGGTATGATGTGGACATTGGAAGACATGCCTCTTGAAACACACCTTCTCACGTGACGCCATGTCAACATTTCTCATGGAAAGCGTGTTTCATGATCCATGCCTTCCATATATGTTAGAGATTCAACGAATGAACGGATTTGAGAGTGATTTAGGTAAAAATGCCGATTTTCATATTTACTTTTGGAGAAAATAACATCAGTTGACCAAAAATGACTTATAATATACGATTTTAACCAACTTTTTTTGGATTTTCCAAAATGACCAACTAAATCGCAATGCGATCGATAATTCGCAACGCGATCTCCGGTATCGCAAATCAGTTTCCAGATTCGCAACGTGAATATCGACTATCGCAATGCGATTTTCCAAATTCGTTGCGATAGTCGAAGTTCGCGTTGCGATTTATTCCAAGTTCGCAACGACTGGTGGTATTGCATTTGTTTCTTAAGAATTTTCTCTAAAAAGATAGTATTCGCGCGGACGTGTCTAAGACACGTATTACTACGACCACGACCCGAGACGAGACGGCGGCGGCGGCGGCGCGTGAGAGTCCCCCTTGTTCTCTATCACTCAACAAGGAAGTGGGAAAGCCAAGCCTTAAATACCATTCCCAATAGTGTTTCCAATACTATGTGAGATTGAGCATTATCAACACTTGTTCCCAATACTATGTGGGTTTGAGCCTTAAATAGTGATATTATTTGTGAATTATAGTTAATGACTTTAGTATTTGTATGAAAAGTATTTGTGGTTCGTTTAGTTTTCATGCAATTCTAATTTATTTTCAATTGATTGTAATTGCACGATAACAATTTTTTTTATTCTCGTGAGTGATACAATTTTTTTGAATGTTTTGCTTAAAATTGCAATAATCGCGATTGATTGTAGATTGACTTTTAATTATGACATATTTAATCGTATAATACTAATGCAATTGGTTGTTGATTCAGTTGTTTTAAGGTGCATGATTGTTAATTGTTTCCTGAATAATCACATAGTATTGGAAACAAGTGTTGGTAATGCTCAATCTCACATAGTATTGAAAATACTATTTGGAATGGTATTTAAGGCTTGGCTTTCCCACTTCCTTGTTGAATGATAGAGAACAAGGGGGACTCTCGCGTGCCGCCGTCGCCGTCCGTCTCGTCTCGTCTTGTGGTCGTGGTAATATGTGTCTTCGACACGTCCGCGCGAATACTATCTTTTTAGAGAAAATTCTTAAGAAACAAATGCAATACCACCAGTCGTTGCGAATTTGGAATAAATCGCAACGAATTTGTAATAAATCGCAACGTGAACTTGGACTATCGCAACAAATTTGGAATAAATCGCAACGCGAACTTGGAAATCGCAATGCGAATATGTAAATCGCAATGCGATAGTCGAAGTTCGCGTTGTGAATCTGGAAACTGATTTGCGATACCGGAGATCGCGTTGCGAATCTGGAAACTGATTTTCGATATCGTAGATCGCGTTGCGAATTATCGATCGCATTGTGATTTAGTTGGTCATTTTGGCAAATTCAAAAAAAGTTGGTTAAAATCGTATATTATAAGGCATTTTTGGTCACTGATGTTATTTTCTCTTTACTTTTGTGGGTGTGGGGAGGGGGGAAGCTTAATAAAAAAAATAGTAAACTACATAAATAGTCTCTAAATGTTTAGGTTGTCTGCATTTTGGTCACTATAATTTTAAAATTTGCGATAGAGTTGTTGAACTATTAATTTGCTCATATTACTGCCGCCATCGTTAGTTTATCCTTAAGAAATGTTTATGTGATATATTAAAATTTTATTCTCCTAGAAATTTTAATTTCGTATTTCAAAGTAGTAATCATTGATTTTATTTCTCCTACGTTATCACTGTTTGATGTTATTTAATTGTCTCAAACATTAAACATAACACTCATCATATTAAAAAACATTATCATCTTTCCAGAACTGTAGAATCATTCATCACCATCATTTTTTTCATGTATTAAACTCCACGATCCATGATGAGACTAATTAGAGGTAAGTAAAACTTGATTTGAATTGAATTTGTATTGTAATTTTATAAACTTGACTGGAAAAAAAATTTAAGTTGAAATCGAGTTATAAAATACAACTCGAATAATTCAAAATTTTTAGTAATCTAGGATTGATTTTCAAGTTTAAGTCAAGTCACTCGACTCTGTGATATATGTATATAACATATGAAAAAATATAAAGAAATATATATGTATTGTATATGGTTATAGAAAAATTATTTAAATTGAAATCAAATAATATCATAATATTATAAATATTTAAGATTACATTTAAACATAAACTCGAAAATTCAACTCGACTCGAATTGATTAAGCTTTCACCCTAAGAGCAACCACAACCATCATTCGTGACTAGAGTAACCAAACTTAAACTATGATCATCAATCTCATTCGGTCATCATTCACGACCAAAATTATCAATAGCAACCTATAATAAACAATAGAAAAAACAAGCAAAGAAATAAAGAGAAAAAGAAGGAAAACTATCCATCTCGACCTTGGTAAATTTTATAACGATTAAAGCAGTCACCGGTTAATTCCAACAATAGGATGGCTATGCTTGACTAGAAAAATAATATAGTTTAATTTAAAGTTAATCTAATAGTTGATAGTGACAGATCAAACAGTTTTAGTATTTATTTTCGATTAAATTTTGAAAAAATTAAAAGGATTTTCAATGAATTTAAATCGGAAAAATAAGAAAATGAGAAATTTAATGATATTTTCGATTGGAATAACAACCACACACCGAACTATATAAAAATGATGAAAAGAGGAGCAATGACTGCTAATTTCAAGTATGAGATAACTTTAACCTGTCACGTCTACATTTCTTCGCGATAGCTAATGGTAGTGATAGTAATATAAGTGAATTAAGATCTTAATGATTGTACCGTGAGTATTAAAAGTTCGGTGACTAAAATATAAGCTCCCTATCACTTCAAATATTATTTATATAGTTTATCATAAAAGAATAAATTTTCAGCATATTCTTAGCTTTAATAAAATATGGATTTTCAAAATAAATTTAAATGTGTTAAAACTATTTATAATATATATATATATTATTTAAATAGTAATTAAAATATATTCAAATGATGGTTTTTATAAATTTTCAAAAAAGTTATAAAATAATAATAAATTTTGTTAAATTATTATAAAATAATTATTATAATATTATATTAATTATAAAAATCCGATGAACTTAATAACTGTTTGATAAATTTAATGGCCTCACACGCTACGATTTTGTTAGTGATCAATCGTTGGATTCCACCCTCATGGTGCCAAGTGCCAACGACTTCTTGATTCCAGTTAACCTCGTCGGGAACTTGATATTGATCTTGATTCTCAGGTTACCTCTCTTCGACTGATCTCACGTTATCGGCATACCTTCCATGGGAACGACCTCTTCATGGCTTGGATTAATCACATCGGTGACGGGGATCGTCAAGTTCCTTCCATCCAATGTTGTGAGACGGACTGTGTAACCCGTTAATGCCTCTGAAAGCGATATCTTCTGCGTGACGATTAGGTCATCGCCGTCGCGTGTGAATGTTTGGTGAGGCTTCTCGTCGATTATGAAAACGAGATTCGCTGGGATTGCATACGGCCGTACGTTTCCTTTCTCCGGGAAGGTAATCTTCGTCCCCTTTTTCCATCCAGGCTTGATATTAATAGTCAGGATTTCTTCCACTGGTAGTATCTACCTGCAATTCTACACGGTAAACTTTGTAAGCTCCCACCATTCTCGCAAACAGAAAAACAACAATGCGTTCGTGTCCCCAATTTTGCAGGGACGAAGTTTTTCTATATTAATC